TTTCAACAAAGTAACTGTATTCTAAATACCACCTTTTTAAACGGTAACTGTAACGGAATACAGTTACTCATATTTTGTATTTTAAATACGTAACGGCAGTACATGTATTTCGTTACTCCCCAACACTAAATACGCCTTGTTTACGAAAAGAAACTGGCCTATCTTGGTTATAAAAGTCTAAAGTATAACAGAGCAGGAGTTCAGAGATGGCTCAACGTTGTTTCCTATGAGTGGATTTCAGAAGTGTCCAAAGTTCTTGTATAACACAAATTAACACTACATCTCACTGCTGTTTAGACACATCTATGAGAAATTGTTTGTGTGAGCTGAGCTTGTAAAGTGGTAACAGCTACAAATGAATGAACACACAAAAAAATAAATCACAGAGTTAGTCACTGTTAGAGAAAAATCAACATTTATTATAAAAATACAATTGGCTGTCACAGTAATATTGTTCAGTATGGTCATTCGTTAGAATTCAACATAGGAACAAGTCAAAGTTGTGTAATGCCATCCCCCAACATATACACACACACACACACACACACAAATTTATGGAAGAAACGTGCACAAAAACGAAATTTAGACACACATCCTCAAAACAGATAAAAGAACAAAGTGGCTGAGCTCGTCTACCGGGGAGGATATAAAAATAGATAAGGACATAAGGTTCCTTCTCAGACAGGAAATGAAGGAGATGGACTCAGTCGTCTTTCACACATCACGCTCATTATCCATTCCTCTCAGATGCCGCCTCCTCCCTCTATCGCACGCCGACTTTTTGGAAAAGAGACAGAATCCGTCAGTGTGAAATGAGGTCAGTGATCACATCGCCAATGGAAAATCACCTACAGTATCCACCAGACCAGGGACGAACACACACACACACACACACACACACACACACACACACACACACACACACACACGAGGAGTAAGTAGAGTTTCTCGCCGACACTCGCAGTCTCTCTCCGAGACACACACAGATGTGTTGCTAAATGGTTGCCATGACAACTCTGTTAGGTTCCCAGTCGGTCAGGGAGAGTGTGAGAGTCTGTGTGTGGAAAGTGTAATTGAGTGATTTAGGGCTCACAAAGAAAGTCATTTAGTTTCAGAAACGTCCATTTAAAAAGACAATTCCAGGACCGTTGGCTCCCAAATAAGCCTGCAGGGAGTCGAGCGTTAACGCTGTGACTAAACGGTCAGGAAATACTGTCCTCCTCCTCCCGCTGACACACCGCAGCACCGTCACATCATCGGTCTGACACCTCCTTAAGTTTGGCTTTCATCGGACAATTGCACTTCATTTCTTTATTTACGTCTCCAGGTCTGGTTTGCCGCGCAGACGCTGACGTGTGCGGATTAAAGCGAACTAGGTGTGCTTGAAGTGTGAGCTGCCGCATCCTAAATTTTGACTCAAGCTCCAGCCTAATGATGAAATATTTTCATCTGAGCCCCATCACAGCGTGAGAAAAATCACAGTCAGTTTGATCTATGCTTCAATAAAATCGTAACTGGGAGCCACGGGTGGATATTGCAGCACTCGCACTACAGAGTCATTCATGGGTAATATGAAGCAATCTTAAATTTTTCGAGAGATTCTGATTAAATCACGAGTTATTATAGAAACTATTTATGGTCCCAATTCCTTTGCCATCCAATTTATTTACATTGTGTAATCACCTATTCATTTAGATTCCCTTGTTAGTGGCGGGGTCCACCATTCCACCACGCTAGGCTTTAAATTGCCTTCATGAGCACATTAAGTAGCGCAGCGTGTAATCTGTACAGACGTATGAATATGAATGTGAATATGCAGAGTGGAGCTTTAATGTCCACTCCCGTCTGAGCAGGTTTCGGTTGCATGTTAGCATGTCTGTGGTGAGCTTATGCTGGAATTAAAAATGAAAATCAAGCTTCAATCTAAATTCTGCATTTGTAAACAACGACTACAGCATGAAACATGAAGTCCTGGCCAGGAGATCTTCTTTGTTTGGCAGTTTTTCCATTTTATCACACAGATATCAACCTCGCTGTTTACTTTCTCTCCAAACCTGAGCCAGAGCTGCAGCTCAACTGTATAAATGTTCAAACATGGGCAAGTCTGTTTTTTATTCTAAGGTGGTCACAGGGCGGTGTATTTGTTTACTGTGCCAATGAAAAACCAGTAACCTTAAAATTAGTCTTAGTTAAAAGTGAGATTGTCAGTTTTGTTGTAGTTGACAATGATAAAGAACAATCTGTGAGGTCAGCTTATATTAAAAGACTCTTGATAACTGTTAAAAAGAGGGAGGGGGGGGGGGCTACAAACAAAGAGATGACAGATGTACAACATTAAACAGAAAACACATACACACATCATAAGGTGATGTTAAAGATTGCATAGGATGTCCAAAAAATGCATCTGACTGCAGGAAGAGCAAAGAAGACAATTTAGGATCATTAAAAGGAAAATTCCAACTTTTCACAATTTTGAACTGATTACATTAAAGAAACAAGAGCTGAGGTGGACCTTTCCCCCCCCCTCAGTCTCATCCTTTTTGCATACTCTTGTTGTATCCTACATCTCCCATCATGCCTCTGGAATGTTCCAAAGGCAAACTGAGCAAACAAAGCCCAAGCCCGCTTCACTGTTTTAAGTTGGAATCTTCTTTTAAAGATGGAAAACTCTGGATGTGCTCAAAGTCACACACATAACACATGCACTGGACCGCACAGACAGACTGAGCTAGTGCCTGAGGATGTGTTGCTACTTCAGATACAGGAGGACTGCACTTGTCAACAGAAGAACCCACGAGTCTTAAAACACATTCAAAGATCTCTGTGTGGCGCTTATAGGAGAGTGGGAAGCACAGATAACATCTAACCCTCCAAGAGATGCTTGCAAGAAAACATTCAGTCGAGACAACATAAACTGGAAGATTCTGTACACGTGACTACCTGTGACTGACATTTTTGCTGGCTTTGAATTCACTGCTTTTCTTCTCATAACTATTTAAATTATGTTGTTTTCACTTTGATGAAATTAACAGTTTTTGATGATTCAGTCGTTGGAGAACCCAAATCTGGGTCTGTTAGACCATAAGAATAATCTCCTGTCTGATTAGAACAAGTGATCTCATAATACTGTAGCACGCTGCAACAATGTGCTGAATGTAAAATATACTAGTCGGTTAACAAAACACCCAGCTTCATCGTTGTTTGAGTGTTCGCTCAGGCCTGCAGGAGTTTCTTGAGGTCCTCGTCTAAGCCTCGAGCCCTCAGCTGCTCCAGGCTGTAGTAGCGATGGATGACGTTGTCTGCCGTCACTACCACCACCCTGACTCCGTGGGTGTCTTCTCCCAGCTGGCAGCCGATGGCCGAGCTTACGACCATGTCCAGGCCACCGTGGCAGCCCCCGGCGTTACGGTGATAATGACCGGAGAAGACCGCCTTCACCCCTGCAGCGAGGAGGGACAGAGAGGTAGTGGTGAATGGTACGGGATGCTGAATTTACAATAAATTGGAGGCAGAACAATATTAGATTTTTCAGGCTGATACTCAATTACGAATTTCTATTTAGATTTTTTAAAAACATTTTTCTATGATATGGTGAAAAACAATTACAAATATTTCACAGCTTTTAGAGTTTTATTAGCAAATAAATCACATTTATCCAAAGAGTCACTATTTACAGCCTCGATCCTTCTTCATAACTTTTACAACTCTCTGTGGGATGCAGAACGTTAGCTTCTGGGTCAAATTCTAGATGAACCAATCCTGCCTTATCAGTGCTTGAAGTAGATCAGTTTGTGGGCTTCTGCCTGCCCACCTGCTTTCTGGGGATTGACTATAGATTTGATTAAGATCTGGAAAGTTTTCTGGCCATGGATGCAAAATGGAGCCACTTGCTTATCTCCTTTGCGTTGTGACAAGGTGCTCCATCATGCTGGAAAATGCACAGATTGTCACCAAATCCCTGCTGGATGGCTGGTAGAAGATTGTCTTTGAGGGCATATTTAGCATGGTCAATCCTTAACAAGCACAATCACCCAAATGTGTCATGAGCGTCGATTACTGAAAAGGCAGGAATAGGGTGGCATCATTTAGGTCTATGATATTTATTTTTATTTTTTAAAAAGTCACTGTTTAATAGCTTCCCAGCATTGTATTTTATATACCACTTAGCAACACCTCTTGACTGATTGCTTGCTCCTTTTTTTAGTTTCCTCTCTGGCCTGTGTGCTGCAGATGCCTTCAGTTGCTGCTTGTTTCTGGGTCTTTCTACATTCAGTTTTGTTTTTAATAACTGAAAAAGATGCTCTATTGCGTTGAAATCATGCGAATGACTTGGCCTTCATAAACTCTTTGGGTTGCTTTTGCAGTATGCGTTCATAGTGCAGTGCTAGCTGATTTTTTTCAGGACTGTGGAGGCTCTTTCGTGTGTTTTCTGGAAACATTTGATCTAGTTTTCTTGTTCTTGAGTGTAACCAGTGGTTTGCACCTAGATATAAACCCTTTGTATTTGCATTTCTGACAGTGTCTCTTGGCTAGTTATTGTGAATAGATTTTTCTTAACCAACGACAAAATTCTGCGATCATCCCCTTTAGTTACATGATCAAACAAACAAACAAAAAAGCAAGGGAATAAAAGCAGAATAATCTAAAAGGTGAGATAAATTGGGTAAAGAATCAGTGATGTACAGCAGGAAAAAAAGGGGCAAAAAAGGAAAAATATGATATGATGTAAAGACTCAAAACTGGAAATTTACAAAGGGAGGAAGGAAATGAGAGAAAGGAACAGACGGAAAAGCAAACTGTGGAAGCTTCCACTTGTCACATAGGAAACTTTCATTAAGGTGGTTACGATTTTCAATTTGATTTCAATTACAAACAGCATCATTATATAGAATGGTGAGGGTTTGGCTTGGCCCTGCGGCAGTCATGCTGTGTCACTTCAGTTGAAATGAATGCACACTTAAAATGGCATGCCAAACAAGCCTCAGTTTGAATGAGGGGTGCAAGATAAGTTGTTTTTCTGTGTGAAGGTTGTATTTGTCTACAAATTTGTTTCTCGTTTGTGGGGAGAAACAATTGGACTTTTAAGCAAGCTCCTCTCATTTCTGGCCAATTTTCACTTGAGCGAGGGGTAAACACAAGGTCAGAATGTGAATTTGAGGGGGAGAATTTTAGATAAGAAAAGATAAGGTGACGCTTGTCACTGGATTAATGCTTTAATATTAGGATATAAAACGGTCCAATACAGTAGGTCCCCAAATTTTTAGACATTTCCAAAAATATTTAAGCTACAGTTCTATAACGAATAAAGAATACTGGCTTAACATGAGCTTAAAGTAATTATTTTTGGTCAGGAGACCAGCGGTAATTGGATTATTGATTCAAAAACTGGTAAAAGGTTGTAAGTGGATCCCAAATGTAGTATTTACATTTGAAATCTGCTCTCAGTACAAGTGAAAAAGTCTATCATTAGGCTTAAAAAAAACAACAGAAATCCACCAGAGAAAGCAGAGAAGATTAGGAGTGGTCACATTAACAATTCAGTACATTCTAAGAAAACAAAATGCTGGATGGCCGTGAACGAACACAGGGGCGTATGATCACAAATGATCACAACATGGAGCTCAGAAAGGACATATTAGATGCTGCCCATGCCAACCAGTCACCAATCAGTCTCTAGATGTATGTGACAGCAGCCTGAGATCAAGGATCAAGGAAAGTATGAAGACTCCATGGAATGGCTTACAATGACAACCATATATCGTCATCTGTAAAACACTGAGAAGCAAGTGTGACGACTTTGGTATTTGTGGTTTCCAAAGGGAATCTGTCAAAAGTTTATAATCGATGATGTGGTACAAACTATAAAAACTGTTTCCAAGGACACAAGCAGCTTTAGAGTTATACCGTCTGCTCAGATTAAGCAAACGCAGCTAAGGTGATTGGAGATGCTCCCTAGTAACGGTGCACAGTGATCCAAAGCATACTGCGAAAGCAACACAGGAGTTGCAGGAAACATTCTGTCAGGGTCAAATCAATCACTTCATCACATTTTGCTAAGTGACACAAAACTAGTTGCCTGCGAAGAAGCCTCAAAGTACTTAAAACTAATTTGTGGTCAAGTTAATAGGGGAAATTAAACTTTAAAATGGGGGACTGTGACAAAAACGATGGTTGTAAATCCTGAATGTTTCACTCAACACTTGTGTTCAAACCCCTGAATTAATTTTCTGGAGCTAAATGTACTTGTGTTTGCAAGTTGCACACGTACGTGTAGGTGAGAGGGAGGGTTGAAATTAGTTTACAGCCGCCTTTTGGCAGAAAACGCGAGCTGCTCTATTTTCCAATGGCAAGTGTTTCCATGGAGGGAAGTCTGGCTGCTCGCTGCCTCATTTCTGGAGAGACACCCGGCCAAAAAAATAATGAAAACTGGCAACAAAAGAGGATAAATTTCAGCCTGTTCATGAGAAAGACATCGGTCTGTCTCAGAAATCTGCACAACAAAGACAAGGAAGATCCCTCCCAGAAAGCTCTCGTGTATCCACCGCTGATACTACTTCGATGTCGGCACCGTGAAATTGCCCTGAATCATCAAGTCCGCCATTCTGCATAATCAAACAGCAGCGGAATACAAATGTGACCTAAATTTGTATTAATATTCGGAGCTGTGAGAGGACAGCGGTTGCACATGATGGACCATTAAATAATTAATCTGCCGTAGATGAGAATGGATGATTTAAGGCTTGTATGGGTGTATGCCTGGGCTAAATTCATTTCCAATAAAAACCTGGAGCAGCGTCGTGTGTGTCCAACCCTTCAGTGACTTGTGGGTGGGCCTGCAGCTACATCGTCATGGACCACACAGATTCATTGAATGTGTGTATATCTGTGTGCCCAGGAATACCAGCCTTCATGTAACCTTGCCACTTCTCCAGGTGACCGACTAACTGAGCAGGCTCAGAACTGTCTAGTCCTGTGTTTGCAAATGTGTGTCCTTGTTATTTTATTTAATGCGTTTTACATAAGAGCTGAAAGGCCATAAATGTCCTCTCTGACTGTAGGGCAAAGCATGTACTCATTATTCTGTATGATTATCAGTATGTGTGTGCTCTGTGCTGAAGGCTTCCCATGCTAGTGTTTTTATATCTATCCCACAAGAAATTATACAGTTCATCTACATTTATTCAGACCCCGTGAATGACAACAAAGCGAAGAAGTGACAGAAGTGTGAACCAGGGGAAATGTTTGATTGCATCACCTGATGACTCAGTTATCGAGGCCGACTGTGGAAATTCTGGATTTGCTACAGTATCCACATGAGAGATGCGACTTCTTCATCGCCTCAGAAAAAAAAGACCTCAGAAAGATGAGATGGTGGGAGGAAGACGCTAAGACGGCAATAGTGAAGAAGTGAGAGACGAGGATTAATCCTGTAATAATAATGACGAATGAACCAGCGGGAGAAAGCAGGGAAGAAAAAAAAAAAATCTTTTTGAAGCTGAAATGGTTTCTCTGAACCTCCTCTGAAACTTCCAAAGATACCATGATTAATGCTGCTGAATAAAGTGCGTGGGAGCGTGTAAGTGTGCATATGTACATGTGTCAGTGCGTCTGAGTTCTGTCGCCACATCGCTGATGATCCGCATCCCACACATGCCGCAAAACACCACGCAGCAGCAGTGCGCTTCCTTCACATGTATGTGAAACATTTGTGATATATTAATATAGTGATGTTCTGTAGTCCACATTACTATTAGAAAAGCCATTTTTTACAAAAGCTATAGTAAGACCGTTGTAGAGGCATTAAACCTTAGTAAAAGTTAGATGACTGATTTATGTTACATTGTACCGTATTTTCCGCACTATAAAGGCACGCTTAAAATCGACAGAGCGCCTTATAATCCGGTGCGCCTTATGTATGAATTCTGGTTGTGCTTACTGACCTTGAACTGATTGTATGTGGTACACGGAACTAAAAAATCTGTCAAAAAATGTTCTAGTACAACTTTGGAAAGCTACGAAGCCGCACCGCTTGATGGATTGTCGGAGCATTACGGCTACCGTAGTCAGGACCCTCTTGGACTCGGAGTAATCTGGGTCCAAAACGCTAACTTTCTTCCACTCGATAAAAGTTAACGCGAGGGTTTCCGATGGTTAGTGAGAAATGCAATCACATGGCAGGATGCTGTAAATGGACCAAACTTCAGTCAGGAGAACACCTGAGATAATCCATGAACAATACGAGGAAGCTGCGAGAGAATTCAACATTAATGAATCAATGGTACGGAAGTGGAGGAAGCAAGAAGAATCAGTTGAATAACATTTGACTTTTGTTTCGATTAACCTCAAACCCGAACTCTTTCCTTTTGTCCCTCTGTGGGGGGATACTCCCACTAGGTTTAAATCTGGGACTCCCCACCATTTGACCTTAGAACTGAAGAAG